CTGGTGGCTCGAGGGGCTTATTCCGGCGAGCGGTTCAGTCGGCGACGATCATTAAAAGTTTAAACGCCCTCCATTGAAGTGCGGCGGATCCAACACTCGGTTTAAAATCCACTATGGCTGGTGCTTTGACTTTTCCTCCGGTCCTCGATCCGCTTCACAAAGGAAACTGCCAACCGGAGCACCCTTTCGATGCTCGACCCGGCCCGTTTGCCACGCGTTACGTACTACGTACGGTATAGTAGTATACTACAAGCATCGATTGCTGGAGCGGCTCTACGCCACCGGCGCGGCGCACGGTGCGTCGAAAGGCCTATTTTCGGGACAACATTCTGTAACTCGAAAAACACAAATGGCACAGAGGACGAGGTTTCGACTGGAAGGTGTACGGTATAGAACGGAGACTATGCTAGTTGTTTTCCTTTGATATTACGGCGACCTTCGGAAGCTCAGGAAAGTTACCATTAACACTAGAACTTAAACACCGATCGCTTGAACTGACTGTTAGAAGTTTTCTTATGGAAACCATAAACGTTTATTCAGATTTCAATCGGGTTGCGTTTCAGATTTGCTGCTACTGGATTGGTTCTGTTAATCACTTTTCGTAGAAGTGTTTGTATCTTTTCGATAATATGGAAGAGGGAGTTAGGGATAAGTCATTGTAGTGTTAAAGTAGTTGCAAACGTAGATGTTTGATTTTGATTATTTATAGAGGAAGAAAGAGGTTTTCGATGTGATTTCGTTATTTTCTGGTTTGAAACGAGTCTCTGTGTCACTTGCATTTCTCAAGTTAGAGAAGTTTGTCTTGGAAGTAGGCGTCTAGTCTACTCTTCGATCGCGATCGTTCATCGATGATACAGTGGCGTTCGAAAGTTCTCGGCTAGATCGTTCTTGGAACTTGCACAATGAAAGCTTTAAGAACTCTGTCATTGTCACATATAAAAGACATATTGTATAAGAGGGTACTGTAAAAGAGACTCCATCTATTCTTTACACACGTGCCCTTAGAAATAAGTAACTCAGCATGTTCAGAGCTTTCCATCCATAAAATACTTAACATATTTTACAGTGTCTTACAGCTATACTCTCCGCGTTAATTCAATTCCAAAACCGATCCGCTCACTTTCGATCGCCGCTGCACACGTCAAACGCGTTTCTCCCGTTTGTCTGGTCGACGGGCAGTTTCCCCGAGGAAGCACCGAAATAAAACGAGAACGAAGGGACAGCTGGCTCGAAAGCGTCGGGCATGGCGCGAGAATTCCCGGGAATAAGCAAATAACCCGCGAAACGGAAACTAGAGGATGCCGAAGTTTCGGACGCTCGCCGCCCCTGTAATTCTCGGTTAGCGGCGCGGCGGGCGAGGAACAGACTAGGAATTCCGGCCACGTATCCTGCGAAAGCTCGAATTTCGTCCGCGCTGGGAATACGATTACAGGGGAAGATCGCGAACGTCGAGGCGTTTTCACGCGGATCGGTCCGGCGGTTCTCGGTTTTCTCGCGACCTGCGACTTACCACTTACCGCTTACCACTTACCACTTACCTCCTGGTCCCAGCGACTTCGACGACCTTGCACCGGCTTCGGCTCCACCAGAACGGCGTCAAGGTCCAGTAGGAACTACTCGCGCTTCTCGCCCAGCCCTCCTCCGGAAACAGAAGCACCTGCGACAGACGACAACCGGTGCCGGGATCGTTTCTTTCGTAGAACCGCGATGAAGGGCGAGCGTGCTGATAGGCTTCGAGGTTACTGAACGTTGTACACTCTGTGTTCTATTTATTGATACTAGGTACGGAAGCGCTGCTTTAACCGGTTAACTGTGGAATTTAGTTGGAAGAACCTCTGGTTCTCCGCGCAATAAAATAAAATGGAGCGTGTACTCGTCGAAGGACGAATGCACGTGGAGTGTATAGAAATGAATGATCTAACTATATAGAGTATATAGAAATGAAAGATCTAACTATATGGAGTATGTAGAAATGAAAGATCTAACTATATAGAATATATAGAAATGAAAGAAAAACTAATGAAAGATCAAAGCGAGACAAAGAAGAATTATATGTTTATGTGAAAAAATAAAGACATAAATGTACAACAGTTTTCAATGAGTTGTAGGCGACATTTCTTGAGACGGATTGAATAATAAAACGAACATACGTTAAGAAACTAAGTTATTGTTTCTGTGTTTCACATAATGAAAGTTAGATGAGCGTTACTGTCATGATCTCAGCCGACCTGCGGTTCAACGGTGAAGGGGCAAGGAGATTCGGCCGCACGCTCCACCTCGGCTCGCGGCTCGGCCAGTAACAAAGACGTGTGGAAACTAATTCCGCCATTACTATCGGGCCGAGCGAATGGACGTCTCTCCCTGCTCCTCTTCACTTTTTACGGTTTCCGGTATGGCGTCCTTGTACAAGGATATAGTAAATAATTGCTTGGTGCGTCTAGATTCGGTAAATTCATTATTTGTCAACGGTGTCGTATCATTACAAACGTGGATTCTATTTGACAATGGCGTCCACTTCTTTTGTTAAATTGTGTTATCAGGAAATAAAAGTAAAGATGTACATTCGAGTGGACTCTTCCCATCTATCTTGGTGATTGCGATAATACAATTTGATAAGAGAGGTCGACACCACTGTCAAATAGAATCTATGCTCGCGATAGTATGAGGACAGCCTTTACAAACAATAAAATTTACTGAATTTAGATACACCAAGGATTCATTTAGTATGTCCTTATACGAGGACGCCTTGACCGAACGGGTTAAGCCCTTTGCACTAGGGAGGTGACTCTTTAATGCTGATCTTTGAACAACGCCTCGATGCATGAAATATTGTAATAAAATAGCTTCCTCGATATACCGGTGATTTTCGAGTTAGTCTCAAAGAACATCGTCCTCGCCTTGTCGAGAAACGTTAAAAATTTCTAGTAAGAAACTTCCGAGTGCAAAGGGTTAAGTTCGTTGTGTCGTTCGACGGAGAACGAACGTCGCGCGACGCGACAAGCCTCACGCGGACGTACGTCCCTCGACGCCCGAATTCCAGTACGCGCGGCGCGTCTCGCACCCGGGAATATCAACGATCTTCGAGAATTGTAAAGCGTCCCGACGATTAATCTTGCGCGCGACGGACGGAATCCCGAGCGCGACGTCGCCGAGCGATACCAAGGAGGAGAGAGAGGGTGTTAACGAGGAGCAGCTATCCATCGTGCAACGTCGTGGTCGGGCTCGATAACGCACGCGACGGACGACGTATGGACGTTGCGCCGACCGTCGAAACGAGCTGAAACGAGCCGGCACCTTCGACGATTCGAGGCAAGGTCTACCGTGGCTGGAAACGATTCATATCTGTCGGGGAAACCGCGGGGAAAATCCGAATCATCGGACCTTCGATGGGAAAGTCGGTTGCTCGATACGACTCGGGGGCGAACGAATTAACCCTTCGCCTTGCAATATCGTGGCAGGGTTTATCGAATCCCTGACGGAGGTTTATCGAATTTAGGTAAAATAATGGAACTCGAAGAATCAACTAAACAGAGACCAAAGAATCCAGTCCTCCATCGTCAACTTCAAAACGAGCATCAACGTATTAATATTAACAGTCGATGAATCACAGACAAACAAACAGATTCAAGGGGTTGAACGATTGTCACGTTCGATCCGGTAATCACCGGTCAACCGTCATCCAATCCGTCGAATCGGTATACACCTCGAATCGGTAAAATTCCCACGAACGTCGCAATACAAGCCGGATCGCGTTCTAAATCGAGTTTCCTTTTCTCCGAGCGAATTTTCCGAGAGCATGCGCCCTCGTTCCCCTGCCTCCCCCTTATCGCGTCGCTAAAAACGAGCAACTTCCTTGAAAGCTGAAACGTTGAAGAAACCGAGGCGGTTCAGCCCCGCGTCCTTTATCCTTCATCGATCCCCGAATTCCTGTCGCGAAAGACAGATCGACGTCCCCGTGGAATTCTCCGGAAACGAAAGTAACCGACATAAAGGAAGCGAACTGCTCGGCGATCGGAGTCGAGGCGACCGAAGGGTTCCGCTTCGGTTTCGCTCGCTCGCCGGGAACTTTCGCCGACGCGACGCGGTTTCTGGGTCACGGATGCCGCCGGCGCAACGCGACACGTCCGACGGAAGCGAGGGAAACGGGAGACAGGACAGAAGAGTCTCCGTCGTCGGATATCGGAAAGCCAACGCCGCGCGCGAGAACGAATCCCCGTTGCCGATCCGGGTGAATCGGCGGACGTAAAATTTCACGAACCTCGCATACGTTCGGCTTCCTTCTGGGTCGCGGAGGGTGTCGTGTGTCCCTTGCTCGGGCTATTTTCCGGGCTAGTCGCTCGAGAAAACGGCAGCCCGGTAACGCGACGCCGTTCCGGACGATAAATATGTACGTGTACACGCCGAGACTGTGCGGAACCTAAGCACACGTACGCGTACGCGCACAGGCGCAGCTAGATTAAATCCGGCTTTCTACGAAATCCCAGAAATCGCGGTGCTCGCCGATCCGTGCGGCGCCGGGTCGTGCCGCGCGGAGCCGCGCGGAGCCACGGTCAGCAATACTTTACACCTGCCACGCTTCAGACCTAATTAGATGCGACGGGCTTAATCTTGCGCGCGTAATGGGATCGTCGAACGAAACGGGTCGCAATCTCTTCTCCGACGCGTGTACACCTTGCCGGGACGAACGTCCGATCGATGCGGACGCCCACGCGCGCGCGACCGGGACACGCTCGCGGATCGATCTATTTAGATTCCGAAAGCGCTTTTTTCGAGCACCGGCCCGCCGATTGGCTGGATGCGGACGGGACTTCAAACGGGTATTTACTTTATCGGGGCGACCCGTTTATCGAGCCAACCGGAGTCCAGATTTCTGCGAGGCCGTCCGAATTGGAGAAGACGAAACGTTTCGCCCTCCTTTCATCCGCTTCGATTTAATAAACTCGGCGTACGGTCCGCCGGCTACTCGGACTCGGCTCTTCCGCCGAGAGTCAATTTTCGGAACTGCTGCTTCTCGGCGCGGAGGAGCGGTAGAATGGGCCGGAAGTCACGTTTTTCGTGGGGATCATTGCGGAATTTAGTAATGAGCTGGGGATCTGATATTTAGGGGTTTGTCAGCTGTGACTGTTTTCCTACTGGTTTTTCGTTGATTAAGTTATTGTATGGAATGTTTCTTAATTAATGAATGCTTCTGATCTATATGGGATTTCATGTTGTTCTGTATCACCCTTTCTTATACACCTCAACACTAGAACTACCGAGTAATTCAATTAGATCTCCTAATTTTCTTATAAAAACTCCAACATTCATCTGATCCTTTCCAATAATTGCAGAAGAAGATTGTAGGAACGGCTAATTTCGAGCCATTTGGTAGTTCTAGTGTTAATTCGCTTCCAATGTCTTAATACCTGTCGATTGTACGGTGCGACGCAAGGATCATTCAATCAATAAACAATAACTTTCTTCCCCGATCTACCCTATTCGCGCAATTCGATCAACAATGCTCGAAGCGATTCCTTCATCAAAATTGATCGATCAACCGAAACGACGCGACTTCGGCGGCGATCCTCGTCGATCGATCGCGCAGGACACGGGAACGAAACTACGCGAACCGATCGAACGCGACACGATCGCGCAGCGGTCCGACCGCTCACCGGCGCGCCGCTCGTGAATCTCGCGGCGGATAAACGGAAGCGGGTTACGGGCGACGACAAGTGACAGGCGAGTACGAGTGACGGCTGCTGGATGCCGGATAACTCGAGAGGGAACGCGGGGAGGGCGGCGGCGGCTAGAAATGTAGTAGAAATACCGTGGGCTCGGGGCGCGGTGTAGAGGCTCGAACAAAGGAGGGTCGTTAGAAACAAGTGGCGCCGATTAAAAACGCCGACGCCACTCGCCCAGATGCATCGACAAACACGCGACGTCGGGGCGGCGTGTTTTCCGCGAGCTTCGTCCCCGCGTCCCGTCCCCCTCGATGAAATTCCTCTTCCCCGAGGTCCTCCTTGTCCCGCGTATCGCCGGCTCGCTCGGTTCCGTTCGTCCCATCGAGATCTCTCGGTCGTCTCCCGTCGCCTCTCGCGCTCGTCGCTTCCGACGAACCTCTGCTACAAATTAGCGAGAGAGAGGCGACTCGCGCGCGATCGGTCGCGGGAAGAGGGGAAGCGGCGCGGCGGAAAGTCGGGCGGGAAGTCGGCGGTTCCCACGGAATTCCTCGAAAAATTCGTCATTTCCGCAGCCGGCGCGGCGACGTCCTGCGACCTACATCAACGAGAGCGCGAGGATACATTATTACTATCATCGGAAAGCAAAGCTCCGATGGTGCGACGGCCGCAGGGTGTTTCAGGGTCGGTTGCCATGGCAATGCGCTGGGACAGCCACGGGGTGCAGCCTGGAATATCCACCCTCTTGCCTCTTTTCCGCGATTCTCCCAGTTACCCCTACCCCTGCGCTCCTCTCGCTCCCTCCGGCTCGCCGCCTCTTCTTCTCTCGTTCC